GGCTAGAGGAAGTATGCTATTCCAAAGCCTTGTCAAAATGAATAAAGAACAGCAACAGTTATTTGGCTTAACATGAGTACACAAAAAAAGTAAAGAGTGATGATACTCATGATACAGAAATCACCATAGGTAGTTCCTCAAATAGAACTTGATAGGTACTGAGGACCTGTGTTGCAAAATTCATCTTCAATGGCAGAATGCTTATTAAAATATACTTTAAAGTGCCAACCTCTTTGGTAAGGGTATTCTAGGAGTTGAGATTCAAGCTTGGTGTGAACTTTTTTTGCCCGTATTCATTGTGATTTCAAATTGTGCTCCACAGCTCTTGTGAAGACACACAGTTATATGAATTTTGCACAAAGAAATTTGTAGTACATGGTTTCAGTTGTCAGGGGACAAGTAGACCGAGGTAATATCGTTGATGATGCAAGGGTAAGTACTTACCTGAAGTATAATTGAGATTATACAAGTCCTCCGGAGGTGAGAATCAACTAGCGTTCTGCTGCCTGCCAGGCGCCCTCACCAGTCTTTAAATGAAAAAGCTCTTCCTGCCACACCAAGTGACCTCTGACCTCTTTGAAAGTACTGCACTATCTGGGTGGGTCGTATTCCTATGGCTCACCAAAACAGGATGAAGTAAGGGTGCACTGATTTTTTTTTATTTTTAATTTTTTGGAAACACACGCCGTTAGGCAACATCTTCTACAACATAGGAATAAACATGAGAAAAGCCAGAATGTGGCTAGAACAACTTTAACACTAACAAGTGAAACTTCAAAACATTCAAAAGTTAAAGAATCAACAACTGAAAAGTAAAATAAGCAAACTTAGCTCTATGCCACTTACAATACACATTACATGCACATGCATCTAGATCATACGTGCATCAGAAGATCATGACAAATATTTGCATCAGAACAAGTAATCAAACTCACAGAGTTTAGAAACATGTAGGGTCAACGCATACCATCTGTCCAAATCATGCCTCATCATCTCAAGCATGGAGAATCAAGGGCTAGGGATACTGACATTATCCCAACAACAAGGTGGGAGTTGATACTCACCTCTGGAGGACTCATATAATCTCAATTATACTTCAGGTAAGTTTTACGCTTGCGTAATCAACGATTATACTTCGCTTCCATTGGTTTCGAATCAACTTGCAATTTTGAAGCTGATTTCAGGATTACTTCCGCCATGGGCGAACTTGTCAATGGCTTATGATAAAAGGTGTGGAAAGTGGAATCTGACACCCAATCTGCTGAATCTATGATAACTTGCAAGGATATCCCTAAACTAAAAGATGCTGAAGTCACTGCACCATGCGTGGAATGTGCCTTAAACTTTGTGGTGTCAACCCCAGCCAGATGTAACATTTCAACAATGCAACGGCTCACTGTTGAAGATACCACCTTTTTATGAGGTTTCATGAGACTGATCAGAAGCTGAGTTTCCCCATTCCGAAGGGGAGCTGTACAGTTGATGTAAAAGGACACGGCCCCCACTGGACACAAGGATTTCTTCTCAAAGG